GAAGACGTGGAGAGCTTCTTAAGTTCTAGGGACTAAGGCGTTGTAACTGTCGTTTTACAAGCTTAGTGTCATTTACTTTACAGCTTTTAATTCCTGCACTTAAGACTTTGACTGTATAACTCTAAAGAATTTGGAATCTGTGTTTGGCAGATCTTGTTCTAAGAGTCATCAGAAAGGCATTTACCTTAGTGTTTTCTTGAGGCTACCCAGACAGACTTTAATCCGCTGCCTGGTCCTGTTCTGCCATCAGAACTCGACCATCTCTGTCATCATATTTGGACCTCCTCTCATAAGTCAGTATTGACTTAGAGTAAAAATCTGATAAATCAGAGCAGTCTATTCACCCCACCCCACCCCACCCCACCCACCCCACCCACCCCTCTAGGCTGCTTCATACTTAAACGGGACCAACAACGAATGCATAAATATAGGGACGCGGCCCTGGAACTTATCAAACAGTTCGAGAAGTCAGATCAAGTATGTGTTCCCCGAGCCCAAAACAACGAGGCATACATTCTGTCAAAGCTAACCAAAGATGCGTCTGAACACCTTGTGCGCATAGCCCAGATACAAGAGCTGGATAAACCCATCATCGAGGCCATAAAAGACCTGGAGGTCTTTCCTGTCGAACAAAGGCAAAAATCCTGGGTTGAAGAATTGACAGAATACAAGGAGGCTGGAACACTGCCTTCAAATGAGGAGAAGGCGAAGATGATCAAGAGATGGGCTCTAAACTACGTCATTGAAAATGGCAAGCTTTACAAAAGAAGCTACAATGACGTGCTACTCAAATGTCTGAGGCCAGAGCAGGCTCGACAAGTGATCAAGGAATTACATGAGGGGACCTGTTCATCCCATCAAGGTGCGTTTACCCTAAGTAGGAAAGCTCTATTGCAAGGATATTTCTGGCCTACGATGATAAGGGATTGCGTGGACTTTGCACGAAGATGTGAGGCCTGCCAGAAAATTCAAACAACCCCTGGCAAACCTGCCATACTATATCATCCCATCAGTACTGTGATTCCCTTCTCCGGGTGGGGAATAAACCTTGTCGGGCCCTTTCCGCCAGGCTCATGAGGTCGGAAGTTCGTAATAGTGGCGATTGTTTATTTCACAAAGTGGATTGAGGCTGAAACAATGGCCACCATCACTGCGAAACAATGCAAGAGGTTTGTCTGGAGAAATATATTTTGCTGATTTGGTGTTCCCATGCAAATTATCACTGACAATGGGAAGCAGTTTGACTCTGAACTATTTAAAGATTTCTGCGAACAATGGGGAGTTGAGGCCAGCAGGGCATCTGTCACTTACCCCCAATGCAATGGACAAGTGGAAAATGCCAATAGGACTATTGTTAACGGCCTCAAAACGAAGTTCGAGTCAATGGGAATGACTTGGGTGAATGAACTCAATAACGTACTTTGGGCATATCGGACTACCCCAAGGAAGGCTACTGGTGAGACTCCCTTCGCTTTGACTTACGGATTCGAAGCTCGAGCACCGCTAGAGACACTGGTCCCAAGCAAAAGGGTGGAGGATTATGACCCTATGAATAACGAGGATATGCTTAGGACAGAACTACACCTAATCGAGGAGAGAAGGGACAATGCGTTTATCAGGTCCGAAAACTACAGAAGACATGTCAAAGAATACCACGATCCAAGGGTCAGACCGAGACTGTTTCAGGTCGGAGACCTAGTTTTAAGAAGGAGGTCTGCAAGCAAACCCTTAGAAGGTGGAAAGTTTGCCAAAAATTGGGAAGGGCCTTACAAAATCAAAGGGATCATTGGGCCCGGGACTTACAAGTTGTGTACTCCCAAAGGATAGCTGATAGAAAGAGTATGGAATTCGGAACACTTGACGAAATTCTACCAGTAGGTTTGTAATCCCGATTCAAAGTTTATTCAATAAAGTTTGTTTTTTTTTCACAAATGTCCTTATAAAAATTGCGAAGGTTCTTTAACCGCCAAAAAAACTAAGGCTACGCCTAATTTTGGTACTCGCAAAAGTCAAAGTCGAATTTCCACACTCATCCAAATTCTAGAAGCTCAACTTAGTCTTATCATAAGACGAGAGCGGGAATAAACGACCTTCTTCAAGGTCAAACAGCCTTATAAACAAAATCAAATTTTCTCAAACAGGAAAAGATGGCCTTTTTCAAGGCCAAAACTCATTTACAAAGACTAAAGGATGAACTGAAGGAATTAACTTTGCACCGGAGAGGCCACCAGGCCTCGCCAATTAAAGAGGTTTATAACTAAGGTCTAAGTTACCTAAGCGAATAAAACCCACCCTGTTTTTGTTCAAACAATAAGAACCTAGGGGTTAGAATTGGTAAAGCTCTCCAAATTGGTTCAGAAATTAAGAACCTATGAAAAGCAACCTTGAACGGAAAATCAAGGCCAAAACTATAAGGACAAGAGTGATAAGAAATAAACTTGAGAACATGATACCCGGGTCAGGTCTCGAGGTCGTCCCAGGTCTCCCAAATCATGCAACCACAGGGATAAAAGCCGACTTCCCAGAAGGATCAGCAGAGACCGAAACCAGCCCCAAAATCAGGGCTGGGCAACTTAGATTCTGCCTAAAAAGGGGTCAGGCAGAACAAATAACTGGCTCCAAAACAGGCAGAATAAGGCGAAAAGCAGTTGCATCATATACACGCAGAAGATAAAGTGCAAAAAAGAAAGATGTTTGTTTACAAGCCACCCCGAGGGCGGAAAACACAACAAGCTCGTAGGCTTGGAATGAGAGCCAAAAATAGTATGGCCAACCTCATCGGATGTCCCAAAAACAAACACAACACACTGAAGCACCAAACATAGACAACAACACGACCAGCCACTTTGTGGCAGCAACACCAAACCAGAAGTGTCACTATATCTTCCCACCCACACAGAAACAGCAGTCACGCAAACAAACCAATAGGGCCAAAAACAAAACGGCCAACCCAATATGACACCCGCAAAACAAAAACGACAGAGAGCCACTGAGCACAGACTACGACAAGATCAAACCTTTTGCAGCAGTAACAATAAGTGAAAGAGTCGACAAACTAACCTCACAGCTCCTTTCATGACCCACAACCACAAAGCCATACTCTTGCACTAAAGGTAAACAACATAATAAAACAAACAACACAGAGAAACATACAAAATGTGAAGCCCACTTCTTGAAAGAAAAACACCCCAGCAAGAAGAATGATAGATTCAGTACAGCATGCATTCCTTGTAGGTGTCGGGTCTTGGCAGTCCACTCAACAGGGAACGAACATTAATATGCACAAGGAAGTCAGGAGGCGAGCGCCGGAGACCACTTATACTTAGATTCGACAATCGAAATAAACGAAAAATGAATAAACTTCCATCACATATTTCTAGCGGGAGAGAAGCTGACGGTGTGAACAAACAGAGGTTGTAGTAACGGTAAAACGACTGAAACTAACTCCCTTAGCCGCATTATATAGTTAGGAGATATGCCCCATAAGGGCAAGGGTTCTTATGAGAATCCCTCTTAAGATGAGAACCCGTTTTAAAACAAGAACTTATAATCTTCATTATACATTTTTATAATCAATGGGTAATAATCGCAAGATGGCATTTTTGTAAATGTTTAGGATCAATTGCAAAAAAACTCATTTTAATTTGGGGTAATTATGAATATGACCTCATGTGATTATAATCAATGATTGCAGTAACCGAAAGGTTGAGATAAAAAAATCATTATAAAGAGTTCTCATTTTAAGATGAGATCTCACTAGAACTATCCTCATTATAAATATATAACGAATATAAAATATATAAAGAAGAAGAATAAAAAGGTCAATATAAAAACCTTAAAGGAAAATGAAATTAAAATTATGTACAAGTTCAGATTAAAAAAGAAACCTTTATTTTCAAAATTAAGAAAGTGAAAAAGATAAAAATACTAATACTTTTTTCAAAATATTAAAAAAAAAACTAATCATCTTAAAATATTAAATCATTTTAAAATAGTTAAAAACAATCATGAATTTGTAAAAGAATCCAAAAATGATTATTTATTAAAACAAATTCTAAAACGCAATACATTTTTATATTTAGTTATACTTTCATGTATAAAATTTGAAATTTGATATTTAAATTAATTTTTCTATTTTTGTTTTAAAAAAATTGAGTTGATGGTTAGGATTATTAAAACAAAAACGAGCATAGTAGGATTATTTATAGAATACACTTAGTTTCTATTTAAAATTGACTTGTTATAATAGATTATACCCGATCATGAACCATTATTGACGAACAATCCATATAGTTGGAAATTATACAAACATATTTAATCGTTGGGATTATTGTTAGCGGAAAAGTTGAGATTATTTTTTTCAATTTTTCCAAAAAAAAAAAATATTGAAGTTTTGAATTTTGAATTTTATAAATGAAAGTTTAAAAAAATCTAAAAAACGTATTGCGTTTTGAAAAAAAATTGTAACTTTGATAAAAAAAAATCATTTTTTGATTCTTTTACAAATTCATGATTTTATTGATTTTTAACTAATTTAAAATGATTTAACATTTTAGGATGATTAGATTTTAATTTTTTATATTTTCAAAAAAAAAGTATTAGTATGTTTATCTTTTGCACTTTCTTAATTTTAAAAATCAGGGTTTTCATTTTTTTAATTTCAATTTGTACTTAATTTCAATTTCATTTTTCCTTTAAAGTTTTATATTGACATTTTTACTCTTTATTTAGATATTTATAATATCTTACATGTTATGAAATTTTACTTTTGAAATTTATATAAGTTTTTCCATATTGTATTATTGTATAATTATGTATTTCATATTCATTAATTCCACAAACTACCTAAAAAGGTTAATTAAGTAAAAATAAATTTTTAAAATCTTTTTTTACCATTTTTATATATTTTTGAAAATTTTAGTCTAATTTTTTGGGTCTAACAAAAACCGACAGATGATAGTTCGAATTATTATAATCTGATATTTCTTTTGTAATTGACTGAACAGGTAGCCGATCACGTCAGATTATTATTGACTGAAAGTCCATAAAGTTGAGATTGTTCTTAAACAATTGACAATTGAGATTGTTATGAGCAGACCGTAATTAATAGGGATTATCCATTTTTTCTTTTTATTATACAGATCCAAACGGAACGGACAAATCTTTATGCCAAAATTATCGAATACGTACTAGTGTAGTTGTTTTTCTTTAATACTAGCACTAGACTACTAGTATTATTTTACAACATGAAATAAAGATACACTTCCTATACTTTGATCTTCCATCCACGTTGCAAAAGTGCTTCGTTTACGCGATTTGCTGCTTCTGTAGTATCATTGAGTGGAGGGTAACTCCATGTTTTTGACATCTGAACACGTTTACCAGCAAGGTTAAATAAAGATGATGAGATTAGTAACTTGAACTAAACCAAACCGCAAACCTAAAAAGATGCAGCCCATGGAATTCCCATGGAATTCTAAAAACCAGACGTAGATTATGCGGCCATTGTTTAGTTTGGATTATTTAGTTACTCACAAAACAAGTGCAATGTTTTCCAAAACAAAACATGACATCAACACTAATGATGTTTTTAATTGGATTGAATTTCATATGGTCTGGTAGATGTCTAATTTAGGTGTATTTTATAACTATTGAAATGTGGTCTGGAAGTATGGTCTGTCTGTTTAAGTCTGTCTTATCTGGTCTGGTCGGGGACGGAAACCAATCTAAGTAAATACATCCTAATATGCGTGTGTGTGCGCGCGCGTAAAATATCAGGATTTCAATATGAAGACAAGACTGAAACATATTTTTTTAGTTAGAAGTCCGAATCAAGTTATGTAGTAACTAGATAAAAAGGTTCTAATACCGGGTTTCCTGGCCCCTACCCAAAAAAAACCGTTTTCAGTAAACGGTTTTTTGGTTTGAATACCGGGTTTAAAAAAAAAAAAAAAGTTCTAAAACATCACGTATATTTTCATCATTTCCTGATTTTCCTCTACACCCTGCAATCCCTGCATTCTAAAATCTAATGTATGAATGGACGATATGCAGAAACTACTTACGGTGATAATTAATTTGGTCACAAAGCTGTGAATTCCTTTAACATTCCTTGTATACTCCCTAGATCCTAATATATTGTGTATATAGTGTGTGTGTGACAGTGTACATATGTATATGTGTATAATATATGTATATATACGTATATGTGTATAGATATGTGTGAAAAAAAATTATACATGTGTATACATGTGTGTGAGTGTTCATTCAGCAAAAGAACTGCGATGCTTAATGTGATACTTTTTTGAAAATAAGGTGATTCAAATCAACAACCATACATCATTGATTACGAGGAATTATAAAGAATGCAAACTTAAATTAAAAAAAGGATGTAGACATATAGGGTGGAGAGCAGTTACTCACATCCATATGACCTGTAAATGGCCTGACTAACCCTTTTTTACTCAATGCCTTGTGGAATTCTAAAATCTTCCCTCTACAGTATTCAGCTCCGGCAACATAGACAGGCTTCCTGTAGAAAGGAATAGTATTATATGCAGACACATACGATAGTATATACTTTGTATAAGATGTTGGATCCATGATATAAGGATTTATTGTGAGAAACAGAAATGAATCTTACGTATTGGATTTAATATCTAATAGCCATAATTGTGCCCACAATGTTCGTGTCAGGTATTACATAACAGGAGCGCCGGCCGGCCACCTCATTTTGCGGCTAAGTAGTTAACTCGCTATTCGGTAGCTACTCGGTCAAGGGCCGAGTAGCAAGTAGGACCGATTACTCGGGATTACTCGGTGATTAGTCGGGCCTGTATGAATTAAATATAATAATATAGGTGCCTGAGATTATAGAAATATAATAGTCTTAAAATAGTCTTTAAATTGTCTTAAAATGCATAGAAGTGAATAAAAAGATAGAAATCCTATTATCCTAATGATGTAGCAAAAGTCATAAAGCAGTCAATCATCTAATAAGTTGGTCTGATATTAATCTGCGTTGGGTTGAAGGTCGTGATTTCCTTCTTCATCCTCCATGTCCCCAAATAGATCTTCTCCAAATAGATCTTTAGTAGTCAGACTCCCCACTTGTTCTTCCTCTTCCACTTCCGGGTCATCTAAATCAATATCTACCAGTCTATACACAGACTCAGCTGAGTTAATGACTATAAATTAAAAGATTTTGTGAGTGTGTATTTATCATGAAGGAGAGGAGAGGGGATAATAAGAAATTAGACATGGGAGAGGGGAATATACGAAAGAGGTGATATCAATTGTGACTAAAGTTCCAAACACACTGCCAAGGAAAAATTAATATAAAAATGAAAGATTAATATGAAAGGAACTTAATAACTAAGAAACTTAGCAACTTGGAATTCTATAGTAAAAAATTGTGGCTACAGCAGTATGGATAATCACATGATTGATTTTTTTTAACAATAGGGAACTTAATAACTAAGAATTTTTAATTTTTTAACAATCGCAGTAGCACTGTAGCACTCACAGCTCCTTGCAGCTCCTAACGATGTAGCAGCAGTAGTCGATGCTCCAAACGGATGACCAGTGGCGATTATTTTCATAGGTTTTGTTAGCACATGTCTTTTTTTTTAATACCGAGTAATAACCGAGTACTCGCCGAGTACTCGCCGAGTAGATAACCCAGTTTTGCGGTGCTTCCAGGTGAAATTTTTTGATGAATTTTTTTGAGCAGTTTCTACATGAAGTATAGATCATAGATACAGAAATCGCTAACCTACCCGCATTTTGCGTTCCGGGTCGCGGTACAGTTGTGCACCGGTCGCTTTTGGGTCACGACTTCGGTACGGCGGATTCCGGTCGCAGTTCGCGCTTCACTTGAAGGTGGTTCGCCGTATTCGGTTCGTCGTTCGCACATTTCCTCCAGCGGATGATGACCCAACAGTCCAAAAGTCGCTACTTCGATTTCCCAAGCGACACGGGTTGGCGACTGAGTAGTTCTAAACTATGCTTCTGAGTCTTTGTATTTGTAAATGACGATGCTGAGTCTTTACTCTTTGTAGTTCTGAAATCTAAACGAGCCTTCTTGACTCAATGTCTAAACGACGTATTATATGTTCAAGAGTTTCGTATTTACTTCAGAGATTTGTATTTATTAATTGTTGGGAAAACTATCAACATGGTCTTTATACTATCACGAAAACGTCAATTAAACTCTCATACTTCTTAATAAATCAATCAAATCCTCGAACTTTGAAAAAACATTCAATTGAGTCCATTAACAGGTTAACCGCCACGTTAGCAAGTTGAAGTCATCTGCTGATGTGACACACATGTGGCAGCCCAGATAGCAACGGCATTGCTGACGTGGAAGACCTGTCAACCATTTCCCTGGTGACGTGGTAGGTCCACGTGTGCGCCATGTCAATGGGTCACCTACTGACATGGCAGGTAACCTGCTAATGGACTCAATTGAATGTTTTTCCAAAGTCCAGGATTTGATAGATTTTTTTAAAGTATGGGGATTAAATTGACGTTTTCGGAATAGTATGAGGACCAAATTGACAGTTTTCTCTTACTTGTTTAATGTTATATTTATTACATTTATACTTGGTAAATTGTACTACGTTTATGTTTATGGTAGAGCGTACCACATACTAAAATAGCATACCGAAGAAGGCTACTCCCCCCATATCGGATTTCTAATATTAGCAATCCGCGTTCCCATTGGGCGTAGCTAGGGGCAACCCAAGTCCCTGCCCACCCCAAATTTAAAAAAAAAAAGGCCTAAATTTTAGTGTAAAAAATTTTGTGTAAAAAAAATCTTTGTACCGGCCCAGTCTCCTGGCTCCGCCCCTGCATACCGTGTATCGGAGCGTTCTATGATCCATGTGACTATGTTATAGATTATGTCCACAAAATTTCAGCTAAAAATTTAATTGGGAAATCAATTAAATAAATTATTGAAAAAACTACGTTTTTTTATATATTTTGGCACATATTTTTTAATGATTTAATTAACTGACTTCCCGATTGGATTTTAAGCTGAAACTTTGTGGACATAATCTTCACTTCATGAAGAACATGCTTTCAAAATTTCATCAAAACATTCCACCTGAAAGCACCTCAAATTGAGGTGGCCGGACAGCGCTCCGATCAGGTAATACCTGGCCGGAAGATAACTCTATCTCTATATATATGTATGTATATGTATATGTATATATGTATGTATAGGGGAGAGTTCTAGTGAGAACCCCTTATAAAATGAGAACTCTTTATGATGAGAACTTTAAATCACAACCTTTCATTTATTGCAATCATTGGTTATGATTCACATGGGGTCACTTTCATAATTACTCCCAAATTCAAATGGGGCTCTTTTGCAATTAATCCTAAATATTTACAAAAATGTCAGCTTGTCATTATTAGCCATTGGTGATAAAAATTAATGATTGAGATTACAAGTTCTTATTTTAAAATGAGTTCTCATTTTGAGGGGTTCTCATAAGAACCCTCCCCTATATGTATATGTATATGTATATGTATATGTATATGTATATATGTATATATGTATGTAAACCGAGTAGGCAAACCACCAAAATCGGTGGGTAAGCTCGAGGGAACACTTACCAGATTTTATATATATAATTATATATAGAGGAGTAAGAGGTCAGTTTAAATAAAAAGGGGGCTTAAGATGTAAAATGCGAAATTTTCACTTTTACAATGCACTTTTCTGTTCAAATAGTGCACTTTTGCACGTTTGTATAAAGTTCCACTTATATATTTATCCGCCTATTCCTATCTTGCAGAAGAATAAGTCATACAAGACGTGTATGTGTGCAAATTTACTATTTTAAGACATTACCCAGTACTGCAAGCTTCACTCAACATACTCACTGAATCGGCTGTTATGACAAAACTATCAGCCCATGCCAGATGTCCCATATGTGGATTTGGATCTGACAACACAACACCACACATTTAATTGATTATTATCTGGAAATTTTCATCGCTGAAATCGATCAACTGCAATGCTAGTGTAAGTGAGAATAGATACCTTCACCATCCCAAATATATACTTGTGGATTAGTTCCCAGTTCCTTGATGATAACTTTGGAAATCTGTTTCTCAGAAACAAAATACTCGGATAGTTTAGAAGAAAATGAAAACTATAATAGTGAAGAAAATTAAAACTTTCGATTAGTCCCCTCTTTCATTAGACAAAGCATAACATTTTTATACTCTTCCATTTTTCTCACCACCACTCTGCTCAAATTTGTACCAAATGCGAGGTAAAGAAAATTTCTTTTGCGGTTTCAAGGGGAAACCATGACCCAAAAAACTCTGAATGAGATGAAAATATAATACCTTTGCAGGAGTCCTCCTGGAGAAACATATTCTTATACTGCCACATCTCTCAAGAATATTGTGCAGAGAGGTTGTTAAATGCGTAGCAAGGTCTATGCCATATTTGCAGTACCCTATAATCAAAGAAACACACGGCAGGCATATGCACCCAAATTTTAGTTCATTGGCCATTGATATCCATTAGAAGATAAAGACTGAAGTTGTTGGACATACTAGAAGGTCAGTGGGGTGGGTGTTAACTGATGTTATTGTGGTAATGATTTCCAGGTGATAATACTTGTTCTTTGTGGTTGTTTTGAACTGTACTCAAATTAGTAAGATACTAAGATCACAACTGTTCAGTAGAAATGCTCATGTTTGGACTTCAGAGGCAATTTGTTAATTGATACGCATCATTACAAACTCCTACGTCGTAAAATTTTCATTCAGACTGTAATAAAGTTACGGCTCCAGAGCTAGCAGCAACCGATTAAATTTTGTTTCAACTTAACTAGAATGTTTTTCATGTTTCCTATAAAACAAAGGTGTCATTTGGTAATGTTACTATTTTCCACTTTGGTTTTCTTTTCCATGTTTATGGAAGCACAAACAATAAGGCACTTTTGACTATGTTGTTTTTTAACTTCTTTTGCAATAATGAAATTTCACAAACTCTTAAATGTATTTTTGTAATATAAGTTTATGATTTATGTTTCCTAGTGTTAACAGTCAGATTTTTACTAAACACAAACATAGATTAGTTCATTATCTGAATAAGCAAAGAATAAAGTACTACATAGTAATGCAAATGCTAATTTTTTGACTGACAAAAAGATACTATATACTATCGTATTATCTAATCTCGTAATACTTTTTTATTTATTAAGAAATACGTAGTACATTGTTAAATACATTTTAGATAATTTATCAAATTCTATAAATTCATCAAATTTGTCGGCATTTTTATCAAGGATTTATTTATTGGGGGCATCCTAGTCGATGGCGCAAACGGCGATCGCCATTTCTTGCCATTGGCGTTTCAGGGTGTCGTTGCCACAATTCCTGGCCAAGGCGTCGAGGATACCGATTGTGTTGCCATATGTGCGCCATCGCCACGCCTGCGCTATTTTGCGCCATTTTGTTGTGTTAATTTCCCAAATTTTTAGTCCCAAATTAATACTGGCCTTCGTAAGTGGGTTGACTATTAAACCCTACATGAGTAAACTAACATGTGACTCTAAATATAAAACAAAGAATGGCTAATAATTCCAAAGCACCGACTATATTTGTGTAAGAGAGGTGTGCGACCAGCGCTCACCCAGCGACCAGATAGCAGTGACCACCCAGCGACTATCCAACAAGCACCCAGCTATCGGCGACCACCCAGCGCCCATCCAACGACCACCTAGCAACTGGCGACCACCCCATGACCACCCAGCTGTGCTTTCATAAATATAAAAAACAGGCAATTCCTCCCCAGATATTTTCGTGTTTGAGCGTATAACTCCATATAAATATGTGTGTCATTACTAAATTATGTACGTATTATGTATATCATTACGTATATGATGATGATTATGTATATCATTATACCGTATGTTATGTACTTAAATTATTTATGTAATGTATGTTATGCATATGTAGTTATGTACACTGTAGTTATACTGTTATGGATATTAAATTGGTTGAATTTGGATTAGTTATGGTACTATTTTGATTTTTTAACATTTTAACTCTTTAATTGGTGGTTAAGTCATATATGTATATTGTTTATAGGTTATTTTTATACTTGTTAGATTTAGTGTTTCTTGTCGTGCACCATTTTTGCGCCATCGCCATGGTTACGGGAAACTACCCCGCGCCAGGATGGCCACCGTGTGCCATGACAACTTTGATTGGGGGCATAATGTTCTTTATATTGGGGGCACATGTATAACCATGATTTAATTCATTATAATTAGAAGTAATAACTGATGTGCACCAAGTTTATTGGGGGCACCAGGCACTTGACCCATCCAACCAACATATGAATGATCCACCCATGGCCTACAGATACTTCTTTTGAAATTGCGAAAGGGAAGACCTCAATATAACATCCAATGGCACTTCAATAACAAAATTGCATTTCAGTTAGAATGCAAGGAATTGCCGAACAAGGTTAGTGAAGGCCGCTGTTTTTTGCTTCTTGCTTTTGAAAGATTTTGATGTAAAAAAATACACATCTCATGTCTACACATTTATTATTATTATTATTATTATTATTATTATTATTTTAAATAAGACTTTAATACAATAACTCATTCTATGGTGAAATAGTAAATATGAGATTAGTATTTTAATTCAAGCACCGAACACAGATGGAAAGAAGTTACTTGAAGGCCCTCCTATGTTGACCACCAACATGGGTTTTGGTAAAGGTGAAAACTTGTCGTGCCATGAATTAGCTGCAGCCCGAAGAGCAGCAGAATCAACTTGATGAAGGGCACCAACTGTAAGGATCTTTGTATACACATCATAATAAGCTCATATTATAGTTTAAATAAATTCATTTACAACTTTAGTACAAGAAAAATGCCAATGGTATGTGTACATACCACATGCTTGTCAGGGGGACCATTCGAAGTTATCCACCACCGAAGGAATCGAGGGGCTTGCTCATTTGCTTTATAATAGTCATGTTTGGGGGTAATAACCAGGTCAAACCTATCCAAGTGGGACCTTGGGTGTTGGATCTGGAATGTGAATATGGCAAGTAAAAATACTGTCAGATTCATTAAGCAACAAATGATTTCTCTTTTCAATAAGAAAAGGTAGAGAGGAGGGAAATGATTCTAAATGTTTGAAGAAGAAGTATCATAAGAGAGTTAGACAATGATCACGGCTCTGCTAACAAACCTGTACAACAAACACACTTTCAGATGCCAATCGTTTAATGGAGCTCGCAATTGAAATTGTATCTCTACCAGATGCAACCACTAGTAAAGGCCCATCCCTGAAAATAACCATCAGAGTTAGATAAATTGTTAACCAAAAGCATGCTAGTTACAGTTTTGTACGTTTCTATGTATTTGTTCCAGCGTGTAATTTTGGACAAGAAAAAATTCTTAGATTTTAGTCTAATGAAAATAATTATGGAAATGGCAATGAGATAAGTATTTTAGCAGTAGTATTAATCTATAAAATCATCGTCGTCGTCGTCGTCATTACCCCAGTGCCGCAAGGGCTCCCACCTACGGTGAGGTAAGGGGGTCGGATGTGCGTAGCCTTAACCTGTACGAAAGTATAGAGAGACTGTTTCTGGATGACCCATAGTGAAAATCGCATCAAAAATTGCATGGACTGATTGTTGCTTCATAACAAAGAAGCGTAGACAGTTTAGTGAGTCATTTTGCTTTATTCCATCATATTCCCAAGCCAAAAAATAATGAATCTTTGGCTCCATTAATCAATAAAATATACCTATTAAATTGAGAAGCAGTAGTGTCGATATAGATGAAATTGCAAGAAGTTGAATGGCGCAACAAACTCTTGAATAAACCAAAAAACAGCCGGCAGAAACTTACTTTTCAAATGATTCCTTGGCGAAATTCACAATATTCTTCACATCAGCTTCAAGAACTAATGACAGGCCAACAGTTCCATTTTCCTTGGGCAGAGAAACTAACTTATTATCTCTAACTCCCAATAGAAGGTGTGAATAACCACAAATTAGGTTCAAGATGTAATATATCCTTTTATGTATGAACATTGGGAGCCAATGTAGCCATTCATTAATTCCTCCACTTGGCCTTGTGACGCGCTGCATTTTATTGGCAAAAATTGATAGTGTAAAGCTGATGAAATGTGTAAAACTCTAATGAAATGAAAAAATCATAATCATCAAAATCAATTTGGTTGCGTGACATTCATTAATAGGAATGTAAATACAAAGATTTGCTGCTCGGGTAATAATTTTTCCCATGACTTTTTTTCTTGGCACAATCATGATATGTATTTTCACACTTGAACTCTGTCGTTTAACTTTTTAACAATCATACTTCCAAAGTGTGCACAAAGCCACAAACTTTTCAACTAAGGGGACAAAAGAACTGCTTGAATACAATATGCTCCACTCGGTAAGAAGAAAACAGTAGCTCAGTCAGCGGTGGAGTCAGCGGTGGAGTCAGCGGCGGACACAGGAAGTTTTGATTGGCAGGGCGACAGTGTAAAAAAATACATATAAATACATATATATTAAAATTTCGGGGTAACTATACCTAGAAAATATATTTTTTGGCGGGGCGGCGGCCCCTATTTGCCCCTGCCTGTGTCCGCCGCTGAACTCAGTACAGAATGAAGAGTCTAACTACAATTCCAAACCTTCATGGGTTTAGTATTTCACTATGTGTCTATGTCCCATTACTAGGCGTGCTTATAAGATATAATTATCCATACAACACTGGAAGAATAGCAAATCCCATGAGAAATAACATGTACTCCATGTGTCACGCTAAGATTGTCTCATCTTTTCTTTTCGACCCGTCCCACTAAGATTGCCTCATACCAAATTTGGTAAAGTTTGTGTGCTTCTAAATCATTTTATTATATTCTTACTTTATCAATTTAATATCTACCACACAAACCCACTTTTCTTAATAACTGCACCACATCCTCGTGTCCCAGTGTTAGTGGGCCAGAGGTAGTATTTTTTTATTTGTTATTTTTCATTTCTACTCTTCCTGATCCTTGGGATCAAGACTTGAATGTTGTTGACTCTTCCCGATCCACTCAAAGATAGTTAAGGAGCTTGCAAGGAAAGAAGAAAGTATATCCCATACAATCCTTTGCCAGCAAAATGACAACAAAATCATCATCAACTTTCAAGATAAACTCTACCACAAGATGACTATAGTACGTTTACATGGTGCTTTACATTTTAACACAAATGACCTATGGGTTTTAATATGCCAGGTAATCAACCAACTGCCACTCAAGTGGTCGTACCAGCAAAACCATCATCCACTTTCAAGATGAAATTTTTGAACAGGTGAATTTAGTACATTTTTACAGAGCTTTGCATTTAAACACAAATGACCTATGGATTTTAATATACTACGTAATCCACCAACTATCATTCAAGTGGTCTTACCAGCAAAATCATTATCCACTTTCAAGATGAACTCTACCAACTGAAGACTTTAGTACATTTTTACAGTGCTTTGCATTTTAACGCAAATGGCCTATGGCCTATGGGTTTTAATATACTACAGATCAACCGAATACCCTTCAAGTGGCTGAACCAGCAAAATCTTCATCCACTTTCAAGGTAAACTTTACAAACAGATGACTTAAGTACATTTTTTATGGTGCTTTTCGGTTTGACACAAATGAGCTGTGGATTTTAACACAAGTGGCCTCATGGCATTCATGAAAATTGTATAAAAGTCTGGACAACTCCCAACCAGCCAAGTATTGTAGCTCCTGCATGACTGCATCCCTTAATACACATTAAACTCCCCCACCCAACCCCATTCCCAAAAAAAACTCTAAATATCCAACCCCGCAATTAAAACCCCTACTTTCCAAAACGTTTCTTTTGCTTAAGAATAAAGCTACTGAGCTAAGATATTTTGATTTCTCAAAAGCTCCAAATCACAAATTAAGGGAACTCACGTATAGCGTGTGCTTCTCGAAGAGGCCGAGGGCGCGGACCAAGCCAATGCTCTGATTCTCTGAGGCCGGAAAGCCGTTGCCGATTATCACTGCCCTTCTGATCACACCGTACACCCCAGCTTCGAAGATATCCGGCATGCCTCCCATCGCCCGTGGACTTTGTGGCGGTTCCGGAAGTCGTATCGGCTTCATTTATGTAGCTGTATTGCTTCAAACCTTCAGGAGAACAAGACCGAAAGTAGTTCTGGAAAACGAATCACGGATTTAACCGACCAGACGGATGTTAGGAATTTAACTCACAAACAATAATATTTTGTTTACAAGAGAGAGAGAGTGGTATTTATAGAGATGCAGTGTCTTTTTCTCACCTTGAGACTGTCTTCTTCAAATCCTCCCTTGTTAGCATGGTAGCGCCGGCCTTCAACTTCAAGTACCAAGGCCAATTGAAGCTATGCAAAGCTTCAACGTCTCCAAGGTTACCACCTTAGTAAACATGTCTGCTGGATTCTCACTCCCACGGATCTTCACAAGCTGCAATGCCTCTATCTCTAGAAGATGACGGATGTAGTGATACTTCAACCGAATGTGTTTGGTTCTCTTGTGAAAAGCTGAGTTGTTTGCCAAGAAGATAGCACTTTGACTGTCACTGTAAAGAATGATATTCTTGTACTCCTTCCCAAGTTCCCCAAGTAAATTCTGAAGCCACACCATCTCCTTACTTGCCTCCGTAATGGCCACATATTCTGCCTCTGTAGTAGATAATGCAACAATCTTCTGCAGCTGCGAAAGCCAAGATACTGTTGTCCCACCAAATGTAAAAACATACCCTGTGGTGCTTCTTGATCCATCCGAGTCATTTGATGCCAGATCTGCATCAACATGTCCCAGCAGCTCTACATTCTTTCCATCAAAGCACAAAGCATTAGAAACAGTACCTTTCAAATACCTCATGATCCACTTCACAGCTTCCCAGTGTTCTTTCTCGGGGTCTCCCATGTATCTGCTCACTACTCCCACCGCATGTGCAATGTCTGGCCTCGTGCAAACCATAGCGTACATGATGCTGCCAATTGCCGATGCGTATGGAATCTTCTGCATTTGAGCACGGTCCTCCTTGTTCTTTGGAGAATCTTCCTTGCTAAGCTTGAAGTGACTACCCAATGGAACACTTGCAGCCTTAGCATCTTGCATTCTGAATCTTTCCAAGACCTTCTGAATGTATTCTGCCTGTGAAAGAAACAATCTGCCCGCTGCTTCATCCCTCTCGATTCGCATGCCCAAAATCTGCTTTGCCTCTCCAAGATCCTTCATGGAAAAACGTTCTGACAACTGTTTCTTTAGCTTCTCAATCTCCTTTGAACTAGCTCATGCAATCAACATGTCATCTACATATAATAGCAAGATAAGATAACAGTTCTCAGTCTTCTTGTAGTAGCAGCAATTGTCGGTGTGACATCTCAAGAAACTGATTTCCCGCATGAAACCATCAAATTTCTCGTACCACTGCTTCGGTGCCTGCTTCAACCCGTATAAGCTTTTCACTAGCTTACATACGAGATTCTCACTGCCTTCCGCCACATAGCCCTCCGGTTGCACCATGTAAATCTCATCATTCAGATCACCATGAAGGAATGCAGTCTTCACATCCATCTGATGTAACAACAAACTCTCTTCAGCTACTAACCCCAACACTAACCGAATAGTAGTAAGTTCACAACTAGAGAGAATATGTCGGTGTAATCAATACCATACCGCTGCTCGAATCCCTTCACAACCAGCCTAGCTTTGTAGCGTTTGCTACCATCTGCCTCCTTCTTGATGCAGTAGACCCACTTGCGGTGCAAAACCTTCTTTCCTCTTGGTAGCTCAACTAACCTCCAAGTATCATTGGATGTGAGAGATGCTATCTCATCATCCATTGCTAGTTTCCACTTGCCCTTGTCATCAACCCGAACTGCCTCTGCATAGGACTCCGGTTCACCAACATCAGTAAGCAACAAATAGAAATTAGAAGGTGAATACCTATTTGGTGCTCTCCGGTTTCTGGCAGGCCGCTGCCTTGGCGGGGTTGATGGATCCTCATCACTGCTCAACTCTTCATTCTGATCCTGCTTGCTCCCACCCGAATTAGAGATATCCAGCTCTATGATCTTCGGACTTTCTTGCTCAGAATCAGATGCGCTCAATCTGTCCTTGTACAGAACCTGCTCGTTGAACACCACATCTCGACTACAAATAATCTTCTTATTCTGCTCATCCCAGAATCTGTATCCATAGTCATCACCACCATATCCAACGAATGTACACTTCACAGATTTTGCTTCGGTCAACGGAACTGATATGAACATAAGCAACACAACCAAATATGCGGAGATAGGACAGATTTACCTCTTTACCCGTCCACCTTTCTTCAGGAATGCCATTCTCCAACGAGATCGTTGGACTTTTGTTGATGAGAAAAGCTGCGGTGTTCACTGCATCCGCCCAAAACATCTTCGGTAAGCCACTCTTCAACCTCATGCATCTAGCCCGCTCATTCAGTGTTCTGTTCATGCGTTCAGCAACGCCATTATGCTGCGGAGTCCCCTTTGTTGTCTTCTCCATACGAACCCCATTCTCAGCACAAAAATTTTTGAACTCATGCAGTTCATACTCACCCCCATTATCTGACCGAATGCACTTCAACTTCAGACCTGACCCTGTCTCAACACGAGCTTTCCACCTCCTGAAAGCATCAAAGGCATCAGATTTATTTTTGAGAAAATAAACCCACACCTTTCTTGTGGCATCATCAATAAAGGTCATGTAGTAGGCGGATCCTCCCAAGGATGTAACTTCTGCAGGTCCCCAAAGGTCAGTGTGAACTAGTTCCAGCTTCTCCGGTTTGATAGCTCGTCTTCCCTTTGAGAAACTGACACGTTTCTGTTTCCCGAATATGCAGTCCTCGCATAAGCCAGCCTCAACAGTCTTCAGGCCGGGCAGTTTGCCCTTCGAGCACAGCTCCTTCATCCCCTTTTCGCTCATGTGACCGAGCCGACAGTGCCACAAATTCACATCGTTTGTTGCAGCGGCAACAACATTGATGCAGTCCTTTGAGTTCGTTGTCATGTACAACGTACCCTCCTTCTTCCCCTTAGCAACCAACAAGGCTCCCTTGGTGATCTTCCAATTTCTGCTGCCGAATGTAACTGCATAACCTTCCTCATCCAGCTGCCCAATTGAAAGAAGATTCCTCCTCAAACCAGGAATGTGTCGGACACCATTTAGTTTCAGCATGCATCCGTTCGGAGTCTTCACGTGGACTGTCCCCTTCCCGACAATTTTAAGAGGCTCATCATCAGCAAGATACACCTCTCCAAAATTGTCGGGAGTATACTGTTCCATCACTTCAGAGTTACCACATGAATGGAACGAGGCTCCAGAATCCAGAATCCATGACTCCAACGGACTGCTCACGCTCAGAACCAGGAGATCATCACCCGATGATTCTGCCGCTGCATTGGCAGATGTCTTCTCCTTCTGATCCTTGATCTGCTCCTTGCACTGGCTCTTGAAGTGTCCGTACTCCTCACAATTCCAGCACTTGATCTGACTTCTGTCCTTCTTGCCCTTGCTGTTTGACTTGGATTTGGATCTTGATCTATCCCGATTTGACTTTGACTTTGACTTCGTTCTTCCCCAGTTCTCTGTACTCAACGCCGATCCAGAAGCCAAACCTGATTCCTTCCTGCGAATTTCTTCGCCGACCACCAGATTTCTGACTTCATCGAATTTCAGTTTCTCATTCCCTACCGAAGCGCTGACTGCAGTCACCGTTCCGTTCCAGCTTTCCGGGAGAGAAGACAGCAGAATTAGGGCATGAATTTCGTCGTCGAACTTGATCTCAACCACGCTCAATTGTGTGGTGATTAAATTGAACTCATTGAGATGCTCCACAACTCCCGTGGTTTCTGGCATCTTAAGGTTAAAAAGACGCCTCATGAGATGTACCTTATTCGCAGCAGAAGGTTTCTCATACATATCCGTTAATATTTGCAACATCTCCTTCGTCGTTTTTGCTTTGACGGTATGTAGGGCGATGTTTCTGGACAGCGACAATCGCACCACGCTCATCGCTTTCCTGTCCAGCAACTTCCAATCGCTCTCCTTCATGTCTTCCGGCTTATCCTCCAGAGGTTGATACAGATCTTTACCGTACAGGTAATCTTCGATCTGCAGCTTCCAGAAGTCGAAATCAGTCCCACCAAACTGCATCTACGGTGTCTTCAAATCTGCCATCGTGTTGGACTCTCCCTTCGAACCTAGGGCTCTGATACCAGTTGTTAGGAATTTAACTCACAAACACGAAGAACAATTAAAGAACACACCAAAATTGGTAACCCAGTTCGCCACAGAGGACTACGTCTGGGGGCGCTACCAAGCCAGGAATGTTATTAATATTTTCTGGATGCAGATTACAAGAGAGGAGAGTGGTATTTATAGAGATGCAGTGTCTTGTTCCCAAAGCAACATAACCCCTAATTAAATTAGGATGTGTTTCCAAAAATAAATTAAGAAACGTGTTTCCAAGAATAAATTAAGAAACTGTCTCTAACACCTTACAACCGAAAACCGATGACCGAACCGACCGAAGGTTGTCGATCGGTTTTCGGTTATCATAAATTAAAAATAATCGGTTATTCAGTTTTTATTCGGTTATAGTTATCGGTTATCGGTCGGTCATCGATAACCGTCCAAAATATATAAGTATATATATTCCATAGCATATGAAGTCCAGCCCACACGTATTGAAGTCCACCTACGAAACCCAATAGTTGAATGCTCTGGAGCCCTCAACTCCTCAACCCTTGACCTCGTTATATGAGTTTTCAGGTTTGGGTATAAATGTTTAAGAATATAATAGCTTAATTATTTGCTAACATGTCATTTTTCATTTTGTTTCCTGATTGAAAAAGATATATGTGGGTGATGCATCATGCGTGCATATGTAGTGTGCTTTGTACTATTATTTATATTTAAATAGGTTAAATCCATTTTGGTATTTATTATTTTAAATACCACACAAACACACACACATATGATCATGAAATTTGATAAATAAAAAAAAGAATGTATAAGTATCAACAACAACAACAAACATGGAGAAACAAAATAGAAAACAAAACTTTCAAAGTTATCAACCACAATAAACACAAACCGAGAAACTATTTGTAACAAAAAGTAACATTCAAATGATAATGATAATGATAATGATAATGATAATGATAATGATAATGATAATGATAATGATAATGATAATGATAATGATAATGATAATGATAATGATAATGATAATGATAATGATAATGATAATGATAATGATAATGATAATGATAATGATAATGATAATGATAATGATAATGATAATGATAATGATAATGATAATGATAATGATAATGATAATGATAATGATAATGATAATGATAATGATAATGATAATGATAATGATAATGATAATGATAATGATAATGATAATGATAATGATAATGATAATGATAATGATAATGATAATGATAATGATAATGA